TGTACTATCTCACACTCTTTGACACAGTGAAAGAATGCCAAATCATCGGCGAGGATGTCACAATGGCAATCGGGTTTATAAAACACCATCATCAAGGGTTTCGGGACGGCAAACGGGAGGGTTCAAAAAGATTCAAAAGAGGATCAGCACAACCCCTGCACAGCAGCACAAAATATGTGGATAGATGATTGGACAGCTGTGCAGTGTAAGTACCTGGTGTTTGTAGTTTTCCAGCTGGAACGCTATCGGTGAGGGTTTACGGCGCTGAGAAGCATCATCATCAGCCACATTTGGCATCTGGTCGGCAGACGTTTCCTTAACAGATCTCCCATCCCTCCCTTCATCTGAGGGCTGCACAGCAGCGCACCATACGCCAGTATGAGGAATTGAAAGCACGGGTCAACACAAAGATGATCAGAAACGAGAGAAGGTTAACGGAGACCCTAATCTTCAGACCACTTGCCATGCCATTTATATGAAAACCAAAGGGTCATTTTAATCAAACTTGCCACCAATTCGTAGAGTGGAGACCATACTAACTAACTGCAAAAAAAAATCCAAAAAATAATAATAAAAAACATATAAAACAGCAAGAAAAGTGCATTTTCATGAAATTTCACCAACATCTCAATTTCAGAAATCTTGAGAAATTTCAGAAATCTTAACAGAGGAGATTCCAATTCTCCAAATGACACAAAATTTGGCACACACCAACCTTGAACCAAAACAAGAGGAAAAAAAAAAAAAAAAAAAAAAAAAATTGACCCCGAAAAGGCCGAGACCCTAATTTCAGTTTTGGACTCGTTACCCAGGGCCTGAAAATGGGGGTCCCCGTTAACCATTTGTGTCAGAAACCGGCAAAAGAGATAATAGAGAAGACAGAACAGGCACTGGATAGCAAACAAACGTTCAAATATTGAGCCAGCTGCACGACACAAACACCTAAACAGGAAGCGAGCATCTCTTGTTCTATTTCTCTTCAAATCATGAGTCAGGTGCACAACACAAACACCTAAACAAGAAGCTAACACTCTTGTTTGATTTCTCTTCAGGAGTTTCCTTTTCGGGGCAGCTTGCAAAGAGACCGCATGAAGCAGATAGGTGCAAAGAGCACGCATGAACCAGATAGGAAAGATCACAAAGGAGCCACCCTTTTTCAGACGTACTCATGCAGAAAGAGGCACACATTTTCACTCGGTCTTTTCGCACCCGGCACGCATTGAACCAGAGAAAACAGCTATTAATGATTGACTGTGTACCAAGACATCTTACACTAGCTGACTGGCTGGACTACCCATCCTGACATAAAGCAAGGCAACCAACAAAACATTTGGTCATGCAAGTATCTGTTGCTTGCCATCAGTAGGGCGAAAAATTAAACTCTCACGTCAATTCCAACGGAGGGTTGCTCCACAGCACTCACCAGAACCTCGTTTGTGTATGTGTGCGTTATTAGTGGCTTCCTTGTTGTGTTGAGTGACGTGGCCACCACCATACGTGGGGTACAACGGCCCGGGACCACTCCTTGACTAGATCTCTGCAACCCCAGGCCTCCGGTAGGCCATCTGGTACGCACCAACGGGTTAAACTTGGACATAGGAGGGCCTGGAAAAACCGCAGTGCAGCACTTCGCTCTCAAGCTACCACCGTGTTAAAGCAGAGGCCCTCTCCAGAGTAATGAGAACTCACCCAATGACTTTACACTCTAACGAGTGGTGCGGCGAGGCCACACAGACCTGAGTTGAAATCCAGATGGAAGGGAACGGGGTGTTGTAAGCAGTAGAGTGGCCTCGTCGTCACGATCTGTTGAGATTCGGCCCT